TATTAATAACCATTTATTGGGTACCTTTAAAGAAATAGTGAGAAGGAATGATATGAAATATTGACTTTATGTGCATCACCAGAAATTATATAAATATATTGAGGAGTCAAATGTATTGAAAACTAATAGTTAATAAAGATGAAAGAAATAACAAAATCTTGACCAATCCTAAAGCATTCATTTTGAGCATAAGGGACATAAATATTTGTGATGATCATTTAACTTATCTTGGAATAAAATAGTATTTCTGCTCTGTTAAAGTAGTTGTTGACTTAGATTTGCCTGTGAAAGAACACTTACAGTGGTCAAAATATAGGAAATATTTGTAGGTAGCATGACATTGCATTACTGTGAATATTTGGCCACTTCCAAGTCTTCTATAAATACGGATGTTTCTCTTATACCACAATAACAACAACAACAAAGACCCCTCTTGTCCCTTCCCTCCTCCTTTACCCAATGCACACTGCTTTTCACCATAGAAATGCATCTACAATTGATGAACTATTTTAAGAAATTAATTTCTTCTACAGATTTTTGGCCTTTTCAGAGAAGATCCTTGGAAGCAATCAACAAACTGAAAATCTACACGTTTTTTAGGTTGCAAATTGGACTAAATCAATATTAAGAAAACATTCATATTTTACAGGTTAAATGCTCTGAGTGTTATGATATTAATGAGACATTCTCAAATAAGCACAAATAGTTCAAAATCACATTTTAGTTTACATTAAATAGTAAAGACTGTATTATGTTCAAGGATTACTTTAGTTCAAGTCACTGTACCTATTGCATCTTCATATAAATACCAGTAGAAATGTATCTTAATTTAGCTTATAATAGTTTAATTATTTAGGTGTAAATTAATGCTAAAACTGTAAGAATAAACCACCTTATTTTCTTTAAAAATGATTCTGGTTGTTACTTATTGAATTATAATGTAAACTAAAATTTCTAATAATGAAAAAGCAAATAATCTGTCACTTAAAGTAAATTACTTTAAATTGGATAATGTCTAGCTTTGAATTTAGTGTTTTTTTAAAAGTGTAAAACTAAAATCAGACAATCCACTAAAATATTTTTTGACATTAAAAGACATTTGAGAAAAGGAGAAGGAATACAATTATCTACAGAATCCAGACTGGCATAGTGTAAAAAGTTTGGTGACTAGTATTTGAACGTATTATGTTTAAGCCATGGCTGCATGAAGTAGTAGATGGTCAATGTTTAAGTAGGTTATTAACCTCTGTGTGAGCCACAGCTAATGTCAGAAATCCCGTCAACATCACCAATTGTAGCACTCTTAATCCTGTTTGTGATGCCAATTGTGTAGCTACTCAACCACACTAGTTGTCAGGCTCTTTTACCTTCAGGTAATCCTGCACCAACCGGGCCAATGGTTCAACTAGGGTTGGGTCTGGAGCTCCCAGACCCCTCAAGCCCATTCACAGACTGGTTCACAAACCCTTTACATGCCAGGCTGGGTCACCAGACCCCACATGTGCCAGACTGGGTCACCAGACCCCTTACATGCAGGTCTATGAGTTAGGTACCCAGCCAAAAGGTCCTTGGAGTCCTAGGTTGGAAAGCATGGCCACTCCAAGCAGACACCCAAGGCAGACAACTGCCCGCCTGCTTCACTAAAACTCTCTCCCTATTTCCCTCTCTCTCTCTCTCTCTCGTGATCCCTGGCTTCTGATTTCCACTGCCCCTATGGCTTCATTCCTTCCCACCATTCCCAGGCTGCCCTGCCCCTACACTGCAGCCCAGAACAATCCCAGGGAGACCCCCTCACCATTTCCCATGTTTCTGATCACTCTCAGCCCCTCTAAAGACCTACCAACCAACCAAGCTGAGACTCCTCCCCACTCAGGGTCTTTGTGTCTTTCTCCCAGGCCTTCTGCCACATCCCTGCCTCCTTCCCCGCTTCCACCCCAGCCTCCTGGATCCGCATCAGAGAGATTTATCTCTGTCCTTTCTTCATCTTGCAGGACTCTTCCTCACAGACACCTCACCCCACCCCCAACCATCACTGTGGGCCAGAACTCTAATTTGGAGTCCAATGAAGTGCCTCCCCACCTCCCTTCTCTAGTCACTACAGGGAGTTAACAGGGAGGGCACTGTCCTGGGTTCAAATGCTGGCTCTGCCAGCTGGTTTGCATTGTGTCCTTAGACACAACAAATTGATTCTCCCTTTCTGAGCCTCAGTTTCCTGCCCTGAAAAGTAGGGGTGAACACTTACCTCCCTCTGAGGAATACTGCAGACAATTTGGGTGAAGGCTGGCACATAGGAAGCACTTCACAGATGTTAGCTGAGGTTGGGACTATGGGCATGAGTCAGATGGCTGTGGATTCTCGGCACAGGCTGTCATTAGTTGTTCCATGAGCTTGCAGATACACTCCCTGCTTGAAGCCTCAGTTTCCTTACCTCTAAATGGGGTTGATGGTAGCACCTTCCTGGCAGTGACATTTTCAAGAGCCAATGAGATTATGTGAGGAAGATGCACAGGGCCAGGCATATTGCAGCTGCTGTTGTTATTATTACTTTAATTATTCAGATAAACAAGTTCAAATCAAGTTTCTGTCCTTTCCCTGCTGTGTGACCTCAGGCAAGTGACCTCACCTCTCTGAGTTTCAGTTTCCTTATCTGTAAAATGGGGTTGATGGTAGCACCTTTCTGGCAGGGACATTTTCAAGAGCCAATGAGATTATGTGAGGAAGATGCACAGGGCCAGGCATATTGCAGCTGCTGTTGTTATTATTACTTTAATTATTTAGATAAACAAGTTCAAATCAAGTTTCTGTCCTTTCCCTGCTGTGTGACCTCAGGCAAGTGACCTCACCTCTCTGAGTTTCAGTTTCCTTATCTGTAAAATGGGGCTCATATGAGGACTTCCTCCTCCTTTTGTTGTTAAAAGTGAGGATTGGAAGATGGCTAATTCCTTTTTTTCCTTTCCTGCAGCTCTAGTCAGTAAGACCTGCTTGTCATTCCTGGCAGGGAGTCACCTGTTTCCCTCTGGAATCTGAGGTTTCAACCCCCTTCCCTGCTACCTGCTTACCATGGCCACAGTCCACTGGGGTCATGCTCCCCCACCCCAAGTTCCAGGGCTCCCCAACAGGGGGCCAGCCTCCCTAGGTTCCCTAGCAACAGGCCCGGGTGTTGGGGCGCCATCCAGGCGGGAGGGATACGGGCCAGCTGGTGGTGCCAGCCAATTTTAGCTTCCACCCCCGGCCCCTAGGGGCTTTGTCACCCACTGCCCCAGCTGCCCTTTGCAGGGGTCCCTCAGCCACACTGCCTGAAGTGGGGTACCATCCCATCTCCAGTTGCCACCCCCCCACCCCCCGTGCCACCTGACAGAGATTCTTCTCCATGCCCTTTATCTCTGTGGGGATGGGAGACCTTATTGCTGGATCTCTGCCTTCCTTCCACCCTCCCCTGGGAGGATGCCTGGGGTGGTGGGCAGCCTAGTGGGAAGAGGGAAAGAGCTAAGTGCTCAGGAGTCTGCAGGCCCGGGTTCCAATCCTGGGCACTCTGCTTCATCTGCCCTGTGACCTTGGGCAAGGTACTCACCCTGTCTGCACTGTGGGGTCTCTGACTGAAGAATGTGGATTGTAACTGGACCTACATCAGAGACCAGGGTGAGGGCACAGTGGGTGGCAGGCACATGGCTAGATCTCTAGCCATGGTGGTGGTTACTGCCCAGCCGTGGGGGGCATTGTCTTCTTGCCCCTTGTGAATGAATGCTTGACCTTGATGAGGAACCTTCTCCTTCCAAGCTTCAGTTTCTTCTCTGGAATATGGAGATACAGGGGTCTCCCTCATTGGGCTTCTGTGGGAATTAAATGCAGGTGAGGTTCTCATTCACACAGGACTTGGCCCACGGTTTGGGCTGCTTAAAACATGACGTGAGAGCATGAGGCTGTGCAGTACAGTGATAGCAAAGGACATCAACTCCAGTAAATGGCCTGGGTTCAGATCCTGGCTCTGGCCCTCAGTTTCCCCACTTGTAAAGTAGGGAGGATAATGCAGTGCATGGCATTACGTTGCATTAATGACTATCATTCATTAATGTTGGTCGTCATCACTGTTAAGTGGCCTGGTGGAGATTCCCTGCAAGGAGCAGACTCAGCTCCTTGGCTACCCGGCCTTCTCTCTTCCTCAGCACCCTTTGTCCTCCTGTTTCCCTGTCTCAGCCCTGGGAATGGCGCAGGGGCAGCACAGGCTCTGAGCAGAGCCATCTTGGCTGGGGCCTCTGGCCTGAAAGGGAGGTGCAGTCTCTGGGGCTCACAATCAGGCTGGGGAAACTTGGAGCAGGCAGGTGACTTGCGGGGGAAGAGAGGCCTGGGAGAGACAGGACAGCAGGAACAGAACGTCGGGGACTGAGAGGAGTGAAGGTGTGGGCAACAACCAGTCAGGGCTTGGATCAGGCAGCTCAGGGAATAACTGTGTCTCCCACGGAAGGAAGTTAACAATGACTGGACCAGGACATTAGTACGGAATGAAAGACTTGGTTACAGTGTTTGGAGTTGAATCTGGAGTGACAATGACTGGAATAAAATGTTGACATTCAGGTTTGGATAGAATTTGGAGGCTGGAGTGGGGACGGTGATGGATAAACTTGAATGTTGGGACTGCTAATGGTGGTGTAGTCTTGAGTCCAGACGGAGGTCAGCATTGATTGGGGTTGAGGGCTACAGCATTTAGAAGAAAATATTGTGGAGATGGTGCAGGTACCCGGAATGAGAAAAGGAGACTGGGGCTAGACTGACTGCAGTAAGAACTGAAGAAGAGGCCTGGTATCTGGGGCCCTGGGTGCTGTGGAGTCAGGGGGACCCCAGGGTGGTGGTTCTTTTTGTAGAGAGAGGGAAGATCCAAAGGCATTGTGCTTCTCTCCCTGGCCTAAGTTTGAAAAAGGCCACAAAGGGGCTGGTGGCCAGGGCTAGAGTTCCCTGCCCCAGCCCATGAGTGCTGCCGAAGGTGGGACTGAAAAGCTCACACTCCGTCTCCCCTGCCCAGCATGGCACCTTGGGCAGTGGGCGCTCCTCAGACAAGGGACCATCCTGGTCCAGCCGCTCCCTGGGTGCCCGCTGCCGGAACTCGATCGCCTCCTGTCCTGAGGAGCAGCCCCACGTGGGGAACTACCGCCTGCTGAGGACCATTGGAAAGGGCAACTTTGCCAAAGTCAAGCTGGCCCGGCACATCCTCACAGGTCGGGAGGTGAGTCTGGGGATGGGGCGGGGCCCAGGGCAGGCTCCTGCAGGACCAGGGCTTTGGGGAGTTTGGCAGATTCAGGGTTGGCCCTTGGTTTGCTCTATGACATCAGGTAAGTCCTTGGCTCTCTCTGAGATAGGTTGCAACATCTCACATTTTTCCAGAACAACTTCAGTGGGCAAAGAGAACCAATTTGAGACATCTCTGAAATTGCTGGGAAATCTAAGATAACAGGCAGAGCCATGTGCTTTACTTCTAAGGATACACATGGCTTTTATGCACTAACCTGGAACACCTGCCTGTTTTAGTGGTGAACTTTGCGTTTTTTGTGTGTTGTTGTTTTTTTTTTGATAGTGAACTTTGGTTCCTTGAAATCTTCCAGTGATCTTTGAGACCACGCCAGGTTTAGTTGTGTTGAGTCCTCAGTTACACACAACTGCTCTCTCTCCACTTCCCCTTCCATAGTGGGCATCTGTGCTGAGTGTGGTAGTATTATTGCAGAAGCGCCCACACAGACTTTGTAACTTAGATATAAGGCCTCTAATTCACACTGAAATGAGAAAAAGATGGTGGTTTCATGATTTCCTCTGTAGCCTCCCTTCAACTTTAGAGAAATGACTGGAGCAATTTCTCCTGCCTTGGTTGGACTTTCCCCGATCTCACGCTGTCTACACCATACACACGAAAGAAACCAGGCCCTGATGGTTTTATGGGAAAATTCTACCAAACAGTCAAATTTTATGCCTATTCTTTGAGAGACTAAAGGAAGAGACTCCACTGCCCAACTGATTTTTATGTGCTAATTTAACCATAAGACCAAAACCGGACAAGAAACAAAGTTACAGGCCAGTCTTACTAATAAACATAGATACAAAAGTCTCGAACAAAATATCAGCAAGTAGAATCTGGCAGATAAACTAAGGAAAGCTGTATGATGACAAAGTTGGGTTTATCCCAGGAATGCAAAGTTCTCTCCACTGGCAATTTATTCATGTCCTTCGCGACAGTCACAGATTAGAGGAGAGAAACCATATGATCATCTCAATACTGGCATAAAAAGTGTTTGACAATTTTTAAAAAATCCACTCATGAGAATATGAGGAAAGCTAAAGGACCCTCTCCCCCACAAAGAACACGTCATTCTCCGTATGTGGATCTTGTATATGATTCCAGGGATTTCTAAGAGGACCAGCTTCTACAGGAACAAGACCTCTTAGGAGAAGAGTTCTTTAATCCATGGATCTGGGGGTTAATGGGGAGTCGCCCCAAAACCCTTTGGTAAAACTACAGACCTAGGACGATTAAGACTTTTTTGTTTTGTTTTGTTTTGGCGGCTGGCTGGTATGGGGATCCCAATCCTTGACCTTGGTGTTACAAGGCTGCATTCTAACCAACTGAGCTAACCAGCCAGCCTTGGATTAAGACTTTGAAAGGGCACTCACTGCTGAAAAATTTATAGTGCTCTACCCCGATGTATAATTCAAAATAAAAACCTAGCTACACGGGCCAGCCCGGTGGCGCACTGCTACAGTGCGCC